GATTGTAAGTCCTCTTCATGATAATACGTCTAATCCTGTGGTCTTGTCATTTTATCTCAGTGAACTTTACATATCAGAAGAGTCCTTGTATTCTGGCTTTATCTCATACTTGCCATAGTCATCATGTCACTTTGTGTTTGATACAAATCCCTTTTCATGTATACAACACATTGTTCACATCAAATTCAAAAGTGATGCTTAAACAAACTACTAGGTATTCCACTTTGGAAATCAAAACAAAGAAAACACTATTTGTTGGTCATGCCTACCTATGCAGCCACAAAAAGAAATCATACTGGCAAATATAGAAAAAAAGCTTTGCTGTCATCACACTTTTCAGTAAAAAGATAAGCTTCATGTGAGAAGTACACATGACATAGATATGTTATGTCATCTGCACTCTGACAGAATCCATATTGCATGTTGCATTGTGGGAGATACTGATATAGCTATATTGGATGTTGCATTGTGGGAGATATCAGCTACTACCATGGAGCGTCACTTCTCTATCAGGTGGTTGGTAGATGTTGAATACAACTGGTAAATTACCAAGATTAGGATTGTCTTCTTGTAAATACGTCAACCATGTCCTCAATGATTCCTGTGAATCGTCACCAGCCATACATATCGCAAATACAGGACCTTCCTTAGGAAAGGGATTAACTGTAAATGTAATATAGAAATTATGAATATCAATTTACCAAACAAGGTGTGAAGACAAGACTGAACATCTGAAATAGTACAATGACCAAATCTGATTAATATAGCTATGAAATGTCTAAGAAATCACACTTGTCATTTCCAAAAAGCAGTATGCAGTGAATGAATGAATGAATGAATGAATGAATGAATGAATGAATGAATGAATGAACAGCCATTCCAAAACATGTGAAAGCAATCTGAGCTCATAATAAATAATATGAAACATAATTATCTGACATGTTTTGTCAAAGTGACAATAGCTGTGATTTTGAAACAACCATACAAAGATGATCAAATCTTATCGAAATATTGTTTAAGACACAACTGCATGGACAAAGTGATCCTACACACGGCTAAAACCATGTAAATACGATGTGAAAGTTATGGTATGGGTTCAGTAGTCACCATTTCCTTGAAATTGGTCATGAGATTGGGACCATTGATAATTATGATGCACGACACGCACTATTGGGAGAGGCTTTGTCTTTAAGATTGTGATGTATTTGACATTTTGCCCAGGTCTACCAGTATGTTGTCATCTTGTACTGTACTCTCTAAGTTTGCTTGACAAAACTAGATTATATACGATGGCCCCCTACTGAGATCTGGACACAACTCTGTGGCTGTTACAAATTGGCACTAATGACCTAACGACACAGGATATGTTTTATTAAAAATAAAATTCAGAGAAAACAATGTTAATACTGTAAAATGGTTAATTATTCACTAGGCTTTAATTTAGCTTATTTCGCTGACTGGAAAATGCGCTAAATTTAAACCCAGTGAATATGTAAAATTTAGCATAGAACAAATTATATAAATGATAAAACCGTGAATTTAAAACCCAATGAATATGCCTGAAATGGTAAATCAGTGAAATTTAAACCCAGTGAAAATTAGTCATTTTACAGTAGTTACAGCTATTGCCATTTTCAATATTATTGATCCAGAAATAGGATTACCTGGTGTACTTTCCTCATCTTTCATCTCTGCATCTACATCATGTGCAATTGATACATTGTCAGCTCTCAATACAAAATAAGTTAATTTTTTATTTCTCAGCCACAGATTGTAACTACCCTCCACATAGACAGGTGCATATTTGGGATGTTCCGCTAACAGTTCTTTTTGTTCTGGACTCTGTACTTGTGCTATAAATGTTTCATGTCCAGCACCATTTGTATACTGAAATTAGATGAAAAGAACATTTGAATATTAGTTATTACATTTTTATATTTTTACCCCCAGTGCTCTATCATAGAGGGACTGAGCTGATGCTAAAATATAAATTACATCCCAGTCTAGACTGTCGCAGTCGGTCGTACCTAATTTCAATCTGTTATAATTAATAAATATTGTGTATAAACGTAATAGGTGCAAATAAATTACGAACGCCAGGACAGGAAGTATGGAGTGCATTAAAGTTGCTCGCTTGAAATGCTTTGCACTTGCCATCAAACGCTGAAGGTCTAGGATACACAATTACATTAGGTGAGAGGAATGTCGACAGTCCAATCCCAGTCAAATCTAGGTCAAAAGGTCATTTTGCGTGCATAGACTCAACGCGCTGATCACTTGATGCGCTAAAAAGGAATATTTATCATCTCTTAGCACTTCAATCCTTCTACATGATTTGTAGGTGGATAATTTTAAATTAATAGTTTACTCAATTTTTTTTTTTATTTTACAAAGAATAATGCCACCCCCAGTTGTTGTACTTGTTTTACTTTTCAACTCTGTTTTCTTTTTCTAAGAATAATAGAATCAACTGCAGGCAATCAACACTGAATATGTTAACGTACTGGCACCTTATCCCTGCATGCACATGTGTTAGACTTGCGTTAACGCAAAGCTAACATCACGTTAACGTGCATTAACGCCAGGCTAGCCTTTCGGTAAACAAGTTTAGAGCTGTACTGTATCATACATAGACATGTAGTCCTATTGATCCTACAGCAAGAATACGACTCCTTATTTGATGACTCGCTTAATACAAAAAACATTTTTACTGTGGCCTGAAATATTCATTTGTTATCACTATGCATGATACCGGTAAGAACTTGACCACTGTGTATTTTAATGTTATTCTTACAACTGTTTATGACAACTGCATATTTTGTGTACTTGGCATGTTTTAGCTAGTGTTCCCATATTGACTGAGAACGTGTAACTAAACAGAAAACACAGCAGATTGTGAAGGTTAAAAATATGTAACCCAGTCATTGTGTGTCCAAAATGTTAATATTTGTCAGTAATTTTGTGTAAATGCAATTTTATCATGCAATTTGCATCCTATTCTTGACATTCATTTCACTCATATTGGTTTGACTTGATATGTACGGGAATATGGATATCAATTACAGGGAGCAATTTTTCATTTGGTTTGGTGCACGCTGTATAGACTCTAGCTATATTGTACAATTGTTCTATATGATGTAGCAACAAAATAAACTCGAAAAAGACTTTGGTTGAGTGCTGTATAAGGATAAGTTGTCACAAAAAGTTATAACACAAAAAATCATCATGACTTCCAAATGCCATTGCAGCTGCTTTGTTGACAATTAATGTTGGACTGTGTCAACGATAACCCGATTGATATGACTAAGGAATTTATCAATGAGTAGTGAGTTAGGGTCAATGAACTTGACATACACCACATGGTGTAGCTTAAATATGTGGGAGTATAATATATTTTCGTTAATTGTCGTTGTGGTTGGCAATATTTGAAATCGCATGACATTACCTATTTGAACATACTGTTTTGAGATATAATTTCATTATTGCAATGTGTAAGAACTGAAGTTTAATTAACACGATTAATAAGACCGTTCATAAGAACTGATGATAGTAGTAAAGCTATATTTTTTTTGGTAAGTCATGCAGCTTACTACAGTGCATGTGATAATATGTAGGCACTGTGGAAGTAATATTCTACATTGTCATCATTTCATTCCAGTTTCATTCTATTAAAGTAACTAAGTTTGATGCTGTTAAACTACAGTCAGCACCTGGTTTCTAGGTGTACAGACATATTCACCCTGTTCGTTGTATACAGACTTAATCAGCACCACAGATCCTGCCCCAAAGATTTAAACAGTGGCAACAGCTCTTGTCGGCAAAAAAGTAGGAGGTCAACACTCTGTAATGTTGGATGAACAATAGAGCTCATTTAGCATGAATACAATAAACTGATACATTCAATGGTGATGTGAAATGGACATACCAGGAGAGAACACTGGGTTTGGATTGTGATTATAATGAAATATTACAATGAAATCTTACCCTAAAAACATCCAACTTAGCATCATACTCAGATATCCTTTTAAGCCCAATCTCTGCCAACACAACTGGATCATCAGATAAATCTTTAGGGACAGGAAATGGATTAATATTACGGAATTTCAGAAACCAGTATTTCATTCTTTGCAGCTTTCTCATTGGATGTGCTTTTGAACCAAATACAGCTAATAGCACACCTTTAGTCTCCTCATTAGGCATCAGACCTACAAGTAAATTCACATAAACAAATGTGTTAGTGATGTTTCCTGCATGCACATAGAATATAGTATTAAAAACACATCCATAATAGAAGCGCTCACACACCAAAAATTGCATTTATTGTATTATACCACTATTGGTCATGTGACCCATTGTCCTGATAGATTGTGATCACCAGATTTGTTTCATATGCATACGAGTATTCACCACACAGTTATGGTTCATGTATACTAGTACATGTATGTAGATGAGTAATTTGCATACTTTTCTGAACTGAAAGCTTGGCTCAGTGTAAAGCTTAGGAATTTTAGAGGTAAAGAGGGGGGAGGGGTTGGGTTACTCAACTATTGAAAAGTTGGCCAAGCTGTGTTTGAACCATGACTTTGATATTGATATTTTTGATACGTCAGTACGTATAACTTCTACTCTGTGAGGGATTTGATTGGGATGGTGAAACAAATGTAGAAGTTGAAGATTACATCCACCCTATAGGGATGACCATGCACTCAATAGAGCCATATTCATATGCAGTGTAATCACCACAGGTAACTGTATGTACATTTGTAACTTATAAACCAACATTGTAATAGCTACAGTATTTTGAACTAAACAAACTTAGAACAGGAAAGCATGCAGTGGCATAGCTACAGCATTGCCGAGTATGTTAAATAGACTTCCAGGTTTGCTTTCCACCAATAAAAAAGTAAATGTCATATTTTCAACAACCAAAATAGCAATATTTTTGGCAATATTTTCTCTTTTTGTACTTTTGCAACACTCTAATTTGCATTATTATAATTAGATACATGAATAATATACACACTGAAAATATGAAGTAATTTGCATCAGCATTATTTTTTGCAACAGTGGTTGTGGAGTCATATTTTACCCACAATTCCTTGCTGAAAAATCAAAATGGTGGACAACATACCAGGGTATACTAATTAAAAAGTTGAATATTTATATAACAAAACATGATATAGAAAATATGTCAATTGCATTTACGTACATGTACATTTGTGAAGCTCTCATCTGCGAGACTTTCCTTTCAAATTTAAGCCATTGGGGTCATTAAAAAATGTTGCCCTCACAGACAGCCATAAATAGAATTTTCTGTACAACATTGAAAATAATTCAATATTTAATATATCAATAATGTTACTATTAAAGACAATTCAATTGTACTTCAATAAACTTAGAGTCTTACCATTATCTTCCATCTGCTGTAAGATTTTTATAGCACACGCTTGTTCTTCAGGAAAATGATTAAACATGGTTTGAATAAAGTTTTCTGGTATAAATTCTCCTTTGGGAAACACATGTAACAGTCTATTGTATACACTGATGTCTTTCTCTAAACCAAAAATTTTCATCCATTTAAGTGCAGTATACATAAACTGGACATGACCACGTCGTCTTTTATCACGACCTTCAAATGTATTGATAGCATGCTCAAAGCTTTCCTTGTTTGGTTGTTTCTTGTATGCATCCTCAAACAAATTGTCTTGTATGATAAGAGATTCTCTATTTGTGCTATTTTGTAAAAGTTCTGCATATTTCTTGGCTCGATTGTCATCTTCTTTTGTCTGATGATCTTGTCTAAGATTACAACCCTGGTGAATGAACAGTGCACTGGTTTTCTAAATAAAAAATAAATACACATTACAAAATAGTATGAAGCAAGTCATCTGATTGGCTGAAGTAAGGTCTTACATCTGGCACGAGAAGACCTATACATGTATGATCATCTGATAAAACTCTGGTACAAGTACTAATACAGATTATTATTGCCAAAAATGGTAATATATTGCACATTCATTGCCGCATCAACGTCGTCTATTTCGTAAATTGAGGTAAATGCACAGAATCGCTTACGCTTGGTTATTATCTCCTGCCAAATATGCTAATTTTCCTTTAGAAAGGTCTTGTATTTGCTACCGAATACTCTTGCTTGCCGTTTATAACCTTTAAATAAACTATTTTTGTCATCAATTAAAGCGGGGGGAGTTGTCACCTGCACATGTGGCAGAGTGTCATTATTTATAAACATGTTTATATCCATGAGCTTTTATGTTTTTAGGGTGCATTGTTATCATCACTCAGGACACAATTCCCAAGAGTGCGCAGGTGACAACCCCTCCGCTTTATGGATATAACAAATGCACCAATGAAGATATAAAAACAGTTTGTATTAATGTTAACGATGAAATACCTCCATGTCTCGTTCGATTTTCATTAATAATATTATTTGTTGTCTAAGATACAATTATTATTCATGTGACATCATCATTTGATCACAAACCATAAAACAGGAAACATCAGACTTCACCCCAGCAGTCGAAGAGTGCTTGTCGGTTATGACCTCAAACTTTCAAACAGGAAATATCTTAGCATGTATTATTATGTACTTGTAAATAACACGGTTAGATGCTGTAACCAATTAATTGATGATATACCTAAAACATTTACCTATGGACAATTGCATTTCTGGGAAATTCAGAATGGCTCCTATGCTTTGTAAAGTCAAAAACAACAATGAATGCTTCCAAAACATAAGTTTAGCCTATAATTTCTATCCATTTGACCCAAAACGTTATCTGGACATAAAAAAACAACATACTAAGATACAAATCATAAATATGATGGCTATAGAATAAGTGAATAAATCTCAATTCAAAAGCGGTCTAGACACTGCTGAGACGCGTTGATTTTTGAACCAAAAAACACCCACTAAACAGACTGGTAACTTTGATTTTGGACTGGCAATTTTCCCCCAATTTTTTTGTTTTTTCCTATTGTTCTTTGATAATTTTACCAAAATATATCAAAAACCATCTACATTTTCATGAAGTTGAATTGTTTTCAACTTGCAGTTGCAAATTCCTGGCTAATAGCCTGACGATGATGTAAGAAGGATGAGTGTTATGTTAACCGGATAATCATTGCCTTAAAGCCAAGAAAAAAAAAAACTTACACTGATATCACATTTCAAATGTGGGATGAATTTTGAATGAAGCACTGGATTAAGAAGCCTGCAGTACAAGATTGGTATCTTCTTCACAGAGTTTATTATGGATGCCATTATTCCTAAGAAATATAAAGTACATGTACCATTTGATTCAATACCTGTTAAAGAGGCTTGACATAGCCAATCACTGATGTACCGGTACTTGACGCATATACTGCATAGATACTATAGATATATTATTGCATTCCATCATTAAACAGTACAATTATGAATGAAATGAACGTACAGATTGCTAAGAATTATGATTATTATGTATTTCTCTATGCCTTAATAATTTTTATTTTTTTCATTTTAAGGTAAGAACTGAATTGTTCAGAT